AGGTTTTGATCGATTTGGCTTATTGATGCAATGAAACTGGCTTTCAATATTTTTCAGATGAAATCAAGTTCAAAGCCTATTCTAGAAGATGATGATTCATCCTGTGAGACATTGGTGCGGTCTCAGCAGTGTGATGCAAGACAACATGAGGAAGCAGAAGAAGACAGTATGTCCCCGGTTGTAGAAGAAAAGTTTCAAAGGACACATTTTGAGAATTACGAAGAACAAGAGATTCTTTTGAATCAACAAAAACGCATCCAGGTAAGTTCCAATTTTATGGCGTTTGAAGGATCTAACAACCATATCATGAAAATGGTTTCTTATTCTATCTTCCATTCTCAATGATTTATAAGAATGACAAGTTAGAAAGGTAACTTAAACATTGATTTACTGCCTACAGGAATTGAAGCAAACCTTGAACTCTACAAAAGCTGGAATGCAATTACTGCAGATGAAGTATCAAGAAGATTTCTTTCACCTAGGTGTCAACTCAGATCATCTTTTTGTTATGTTTTTGTTGAGGCCTCAATGTTCAATCATTGAATATTTAATCTGTCATTATTTTTGGGTTGGTCACACAGGCAAGCATTTAAATGGTTTAGCTTATGCGGCTACGGGATACAAAAGGGTTCTTGAAGAAAACCGCAAACTGTACAATCTAGTGCAGGATCTAAAAGGTAACTCGACAGGAAAGAATTTTGATTTTGTGTCAGTCATACTTCAAGAATCTTGAATCACGAAGACAGTTCCTATAATTAACCTGCATAATGACCACACACTTGGTAATGTATAGGAAACATACGGGTGTACTGTCGGGTTAGGCCTTTCTTGCCTGGGGAACCAACTGGTTTGAGTGCCGTGGAACACATAGATGAAGGCACCATCACAATCAGAGTGCCATCCAAGTATGGAAAAGCAGGGAATAAACCATTTATGTTCAACAAAGTCTTTGGTCCTTCTGCAACACAAGGTTAAAAAATGCTTATTTTTATGTCCCATTAATGTTTAGTTTGTTGCGCTGTGAATAACATTAGGGAATTAATCCATTTTTCTTCAGAGGAAGTGTTCTCAGACATGCAGCCTTTGGTACGGTCGGTTCTTGATGGCTACAATGTCTGCATCTTCGCTTATGGCCAAACCGGATCAGGGAAAACTTTTACCATGGTAAGAACTACTACTATACAAGGCTTCCAATCTTTTTTAGATGATTAGATTGTTTTTGATTCAATATACAACTATGGTTTTAACTTGTCTTTATAGAATACCAAATTCCTAATTTTCTAACTACTCTAGACAGGGCCTAAGGAGCTGACTGAAGAAAGCCTAGGTGTGAACTATAGGGCACTGGCAGATCTGTTTCTTCTATCAAATCAAAGAAAAGACACGACCAGCTACGAGATTTCAGTTCAGATGCTGGAGATCTATAACGAGCAAGTCAGAGATCTACTTGCCACAGATGGCCAGACTAAAAGATATCCTTTGTGTTAATATAAGTTTGACTGTTGTGTCTTCATCATTTAAAAACTTTGATACTTTGAATTTGATTTTTTCTTAACTCTTGATTACGTTAGAGATCAGAAACAACTCTCAAAATGGAATTAATGTGCCGGAAGCAAGTCTAGTTCCTGTCTCATCTACCGATGACGTTATACAGCTGATGGATTTGGGACACATGAATCGTGCAGTGAGCTCTACAGCTATGAATGACAGAAGTAGTCGATCTCACAGGTTCGATTTTTCTTCTATTCTTATATTATGTCATGAGTACTCTCTTGTAACTCGTTCTAACCCCAAATCTTCATCTCTTTGGCAGTTGTGTAACTGTGCATGTTCAAGGCAGAGACCTCACATCTGGGACTATCCTCCATGGTTCTATGCATCTGGTTGATCTTGCAGGAAGCGAGAGAGTGGACAAGTCTGAGGTGACTGGAGATAGACTGAAGGAGGCTCAACACATCAACAAGTCCCTCTCGGCTCTTGGAGATGTCATCTCCTCGCTTTCCCAAAAGACTTCTCATGTGCCTTACAGAAACAGTAAACTCACTCAGCTGCTGCAGGACTCCCTTGGTGAAATTCTCGAAACCCTCTTAGGTTATTGCATTTGGGCATAAACACGCACTTGAATCTTATACAACATATTTTTTACATTATCAGGAGGATCAGCCAAGACACTCATGTTTGTCCACATAAGTCCAGAAGCTGACACTCTCGGAGAAACTATTAGTACTCTAAAGTTTGCTGAACGAGTGGGAAGTGTTGAGCTAGGCGCTGCTCGTGTGAACAAAGACAACTCAGAGGTTAAGGAGCTTAAAGAACAGGTTCATAACCCATACACCATGTCCAGACCTTGATTGTTCTACATACTCATTTGCTGTCTTTCCTTCATTCTTGTCATAATTATATCATATAACTAATCTGCCACTGTTCTTGGGGATTTCAGATAGCTAATCTTAAGATGGCTCTAGTAAGGAAAGGAAATGGTAATGATGTACAACCAACCTCTATACCAATGAGCCGTGAGAGAATATCGAGAAGAAGATCACTTGAAACTCCTTCTATTCGACCCAAGTTACCTGGTATGGGAAACACACCAAGCAACAGCAGGCCCCAGATCATGGATCTAAGTGGACCAGAGGTATGCTTTATCTTCTTTCAAGAGCAATCAATGCTGCTGTATCAAACTAACTAGAAGTTATAAATTTATGTCATCTGTGTATATATGTAATATATATAGTCTTTGAAACTGGATGCAGGCTTTTAGCGATTCTACTGCATCTTCAAGAAGACACAGCTTAGATATCCATGAGCTTATGAAATCTTCTTCTCCGGCTTGGCCGAGGCAATCACTCGATGCAAAAGACGAGGATAGAGAATTTAAGTCTGGAGAGTGGATCGATAAGCACGAAGAATTAATTCGAGATCAGAATCCAAATTATCCTGAGCAATTCTACCAGTCATTGGTCCCTCAACAGCAATCACTGTATGTGTAAACTCACGTTACATTGTTTACTTTACATGTATCATCTCTTCATTTCCTTAATCTTGATCTATACAATCTTTCAAATGACAGAAATGGCGGTAAACAAGATTTCGAAGTGCAGAGTATTACAGATAACGAATCTGATGAAGCCGCAACAAGCGACTGCTCAGATTCCGATTTGCTGTGGCGATTGAGCGTTCAAGTGAATGTTCCAAGAGTTTCTAATGTCCAAAACTCAGCAAACCCCAAACCAAAGAAACTTCAGCCTAGAACTGCTAAACTTCAAGAAACTAGGTAAACAAATACATCATTTTCCAAGTTTGTTTGCAGCTAATCATTATAAACTTAATTGGGAACTTTTCTTGTGACAGAAGCTTAATCCCGTCGCTGATACCAGCACCAAGCAAGAGACTTCCTAACACCGTAAATTCGCAGCCGCAGCGACCAACCAGAGATGGAAAACGCAGACTGAGTTTAGGCACATAAACATGTTTTTCACCAGTTTTGTAAAGAGTTTTCAAAGAGACAAAAGAAAGAAAAAAAAAAGATTTGTTATTTCTTGTATATTGTGAGAGCTTTCTCTGTTTTGGCCGTTCCTCTTATTGTGTCATTAAGGGTGAAGATCTCAAATTTGCTGCTTTGAGTGTACAAAGAAGGATTCCTTATTATATACAGTCTTCTTTTGGATTCTTAACCTATGTGTATGCAATATGCATATACTGTGTAATTTAATTATATGAACAACCAAACCACAACCAAATAAATCTCTAAATTCACAGAAAAATTAAATTTGAAAGGGTAAAAAAAAAAAAAAATCACGACTAAGGGCATCTCCAAAGGTAGTATCTAAACTACATTTTTAGAGACTAAAAATTAAAAAAATATTAGTAAAACATGAAAGAGAAAATTATGGGTCTCTATATTAGAGATTTTGGAACCTCACTATGAACTCCTAATCACACTTGTCACTTTATTATTTGCTTAGTTGTATTTAAGTAATAGAATATAAATATATAAGTTAAAATGTTAATATACTTTTATTTTTAGAATCTCTCACCATCTCCCACCGTTGGAGATGGTCTAAGTTACCACTAGAAGAAGTGTAGTGAAATCAAACCCACGTTTCTAAAAAACCACTCCGATATATAACAAACACAACTCTTTCCACAAACACCACTAGTCTCTCTCTTTATCATTTTCATCAACTTCATCAAACCATAAGATCATCGCTGAGATGAGCAAAGATTCACCAAGAATCGTGCCTGCGTCCACGTCCACATCGTGGAAGTTTAAGGTTTCAATGGATCATCAAGGGACGATGAAGACCAAACAATCCGGGAAAACAAGAAGGAACAAGAACAGGACCAATACGGACAAGAAGATGAAGAAAGAAGAGACAAAGAAGACAGATTACATCAGACCCAGATTGGTTTTTCCAGTTCAGAAGGTGACTTCAGTGATTTCAGGTATCTTCAGCCGCAAGAAACCGCTTGATGGTGAAAACAGAGAACAGAGAGATGGTTCTGCAGAGGTTACTGAATCTGATGAAACCTTTTCTATTAAAAACAAGCAAAACCCAATTCAGAATAAGGAGAGCTTTTGGGAAATGGCAAGAATTCGACTGGAGATACTCATCTTAGGTCAAAGATTGATGAAGACGAGAAGACAAAGAAGCTTAAGTGAGAGTAAGGGAGAAGAGGAGCTGTGCAAGAAGAGAATACTAATGGGTGAAAGATGCAAACCCATAAACAAGTCCGGTGTTTTGCAGTACGGTGGTGACGGTATCCTCCTACCCGATCCATGACCTGTTCATGTAGAAGTGTTAGTGTTAGTGTAGTTTCAATTTCTTGTTGATTCACTAATTAGAAATTTGCAGAGAGATTATGCAACTTAATTCATGTAAAATATCAAAGAGAAGTTTATATATTTTTTGCCATATGAACATACTACACAAAATTCATTAAAAAAATGAATCTTCTTAAACTGTTAATGGGTTTACTCCTTGTTAGTCTTCACAGTTTCAACGAATACAATTCAAATTAGAAAATGGCTCTGGAGCTACCTTTGGAACAGCTTTCTTGACGGTCCCTGGTACTCCAAAAACATTCCAAAGCCTAAGAGTCTCGTCTGCTGCTGCTGAAGCAACTGTACAACCATCCGGACTCTGTGCCATATGCAGAACTCGTGACGTATGACCAGTGAGTTCAGCCATTTTCACCATGGATGGGTACTTCCAAAGTGTAAGCTGATTCTGTGTAAACCCATGTGAGCTAAGCAACTCTCTTTCATTTTGACTCCATAACAATGAACAAACTTGGGAGCCGGTGCCTACTGAATTCAAGCAAGCACCAGTGTGTGTGTTCCAGAACTTAATACTCATATCTCCTACACCACCACCAGTTGCAAGCAAACTCGATTGGAAAGGGCACCACGCAAGAGCTTTCACAGCAGATGTGTGTTCCTCAAACCTATGCAGCCATTGTCTAGTTGAGTTTGAGGAAACCACAGAATGATCCCATACGTGTACCACATTGTCGTTACCACCACTTGCTAGTTGCTGTCCTGATCCTGACCACTTAAGACCACAAACATCTTGCGTGTGACCCACGTAAGTTGCCACAATGGATGATCTGATCCTCACATCATTGTTGATGACCCGTCCATCCATACCTCCAGTAGTTAAGATGTGATTGTTCCATGCCAATGATCCTACTCCTGACTGGTGACCACCTTTGAATGTTCTCAGTTTACGTTTGGATTTAGAATCCCACAGCTGCACTTCAGAGTTTTCAAGACCAACTGCGAGATTATAGCCATCTTGCGCCCAGTTAATACTCGTGACAGGTCCGGTCTCTTCATCAACGGTCACAAGCTCAGATGTAGAGCCCTTGGAAGCATCCCACAAGTAAACAGTGTGTCCCAAAGCTATGGCAAGGACATTAGCACTGCCCCAGTCCAACAAGTTAAGGTAGAAGTCATCAACTATGTCAGGTGCGTCCAAGGTTCTCTCACAAGTCTGAGGAATGTATCTACGAGGCTTTACGGATCTAGGGTTTTGGTGAAGAAGATAAGAAACAGAGCTATTATTACTAGAAAGCAGAGCTTGAGGTTTGTTTCTAAAAGCAAGAATCCTTGTTTTATTCAGATTCATCGTCTCAGCTAATTGCTCCATGTAGGCTTTTCTTGATGGTGAAGTTACCTCATCTTTAACTTGTCTTCTTCCTTCTGTAAGAACGTAGTGAGCATAGTCAAAATCCATGGCGGATCTGTTGGGTATGAATCTGTCTAAGTTGTCCTTTGATTGTTTCCTGGGAAGAAAGTGTTCTTGATTTTGACACCACGCCTTCATACCTGTATCCATTTTTACTCTGCTTAACACAAAGAAACACAAAGAGATTAGAGAAGATATCTAAATTAGTATACGATGATCAGATTTAAAGAATATATAGAAACAAACACAAAAGAGATTAAACGAAATAAGACAAAGAGACTAATCTAATAAAGCCCTGCAGAGAAAGAAACGTTAGTCAATTCAAAGTTTGGTAACACAGAGAGAGAAGAGTTTCGTCAAGTCGCTGATGATGTGAGATGAGAGCTAATAATATGATGGAGAAGGTGTCAAATTTGTGATTGTATTTATAAGAAACTAGTGTTTATACAATATTAGGGTATTTTGCTAACCTTGATTTAATAATATAGTTGTTTTTTACAACAACGGTTATATTGATTTTAGTAACATGGAAATCATATCCAATTTAGATTTCCTCATACATAAATGAAAAAAAATATAAATACAATTATTGGAAAATACAAGTGTTATATTAATAAAAGTATATCATTATCCCTATATTAGTAAAAGAGAAGTACAAAAAGTGTTTCCGGGTCGGGTCAATTTCAAAAAATTACCCGAAATTTGTAACTGGATCTTTTAAAATTGGATAGATTAATGGGTTTGGATACATACACCGGATACTTTCCAAATCTAATTTTAGGATTGTATTATTTCCATAACTAATTATAAGATTTACTAATATTTCTCTAACTAATTTAATACAATCTATTTAAAAAATATTATTCTTCTTTCACTTTTATTTGATATTATTTTTAATTTATGATATTATACTATATAATATAAATATTTAATAAAAATTTAACTTTTTTTTCGCATATGTTGCAATTTGAATTTTCAAAACGGACATATAATACTCAAC